AAGCCTCGGTGTAACACTTTGGTTAAAGTTTTGCATGCAGCATCATATTTTATCACCCACTAATGATATTTCCCTTTTTTTTACTTCACACACATGTATTTGAGAGCATAATAGATATACTTTGGATTTTGACAGAATAATAGTTGAATTTTTTGAACTTGAAAAACTTCACAGTGCAGACTTCTGAAGATATTCATTTGAAACTTTCCAAGGTCAATAATTCTGACAAGGATTTTGTGTCAAAATAAGTTTACATTTTGCAAAACTTCTTTGAAAACATTGTGTTTTACTTTGCATGAACGATAAATAACTCCTGTGGCCTAAGGAAATTTATGCAAAATGTAATGGTAATTTACCTGAAATGTTTACTGTATGAAACGAGTTCGCAGTATTTTTATACATTACTTTTGGCAGATTTACATTTTAAACGTGTCAATTCAACCCCTGATCTCCATATAAAAAATTTAAATTTTATGATTAAGGAAGACAGAGTTAAGATATTATTGCCCTATTGAGCGTTTTTGAATTTTCTACTTTTCAAAAAGACGAATTTATCCCACGGACCACATGATCGTTCGTGCACGATATTATGAAACATCTGCGCAAAGTTTCCCTCTTTGTATACATTGATCATTAAGAATGTTTCGTTTTACAAGTTGTGCAGTATGTAATTTTCAAAGGAAAGGAAATACTTCTCAATTAATATATAATTTTTATACGTTGGCACAAAGGTGACATGTGTGTGTTTTAATTAATCTCGTGGCCACGAGATACTATGTCGTGGCCACGAGATGCTATGTCGTGGCCACGAGATAGCTAAGTCGTGGCAACGAGTTACTTTGTCGTGGCCACGAGTTACTAAGTCGTGGCCACGAGATGCTATGTCGTGGCCACGAGATAGCTAAGTCGTGGCAACGAGTAACTAAGTTGTGGTCATGAGATAGCTAAGTCGTGACCACGAGTTACTAAGTCGTGGGACGAGATAGCTATGTTGTGGCCACGAGATAATTACCCAATCAGAATACACTATATATATTACGAGTTTTTTAAACTTAACAACTTCCTTTTGCATGCAGCATTAACGTTTGAAAATACTGAAGATATTCACTTTGAACTTGTCTTTAAGATCATATTAGAAAGTCGCCATCCAAGGCCCATCAGACATTAATTTTGACTATAGCTCTTTGTTGGGCAAGTTTGTGATCGAATTAGTCAGTTTGTACGTACTACGACCTGTTAACCTTGTTTATACGATAACATGAGAAGGAAGAAGTATTGGTTTATTTTATTTGTAAGGGACTTTGCCCATGGACAATAAATAGCCTATAAGGTAAAATCCTTGTCTGAAGAGATAAGCCATTGTTAATGTAACCCGGAAAGATAATTGCACCTGATCAGTAGATGACATCTAATAATTTTGAGGTCACTGGGTCAAAAATCAGAGTCATAGTGACGCTAAATGTAAAATTATTGACAAGTCAATAAGTTGTATAAATGGCACTTTTACAGGCTCGTAAAGAAGGGGCATCCTTGTACTATGGCACATGTCTAGTTAATAAGGAAAATTCACATAAATGGTGTAATCTGATTGGTTATTTATCTCGTGGCCACGACTTAGTAACTCTACAGGCACGAGTATCGGACCTGGGATGAAAATATATGACCAGATTGATAATAAAACCTGTGTTCATCTTAAAAGTGTCAAAAGCCAAAAAAAAATTGTAAAAAATGACCCCCTTTAAAATATACTATAAGTTAAGAGAAGGCCGGAAACTCCAGATTCGAGCCTACGAGCAAGGGATTCATTTCCCGAGCCGTTGTGAAAACAATTGGCCAGACAATTAAAAAAGACTTTTATCACTATTTCACGTTTGTATTAAGCTTCCAAATGAGATCGACCCCAAGTGTCTAGCTCTTCCCGTTCATGAAATATCTATCGGGAAACGAGCGAATTCGTGCTAAAAATCCTTGGTAGACAGAATTGCGGCACAACGATTCGGTACGTAAACATAGACTAATACATGTTTGTCAGCTGAGTACGGGTCAAAATCACTTGAATTTACTAAATAATATTACTAAATACAATAAGTTGGACCACTCACAAGCGTCAGTAGCACCTGATACACACGAGATTCGAGTTTCAAACATTTACACGGTCTTTCAATCGCTTTCTACGCCATTATGCATCTTTGTGTGAAACGTTGCGGTTTCGTTGCTATTGGCCAATCAGAAGACTCGTTACAAAATATCGAACAGCTGATTGACAATGGCGTTGAAAGTAATCTAAATACTGTGGAAAGGTTAGCACTGTAATGCTTCCCTTGGTTTGTCCTCTTGTTCCATACACTGACCGAGAAGGTTGAGAGCTGTCTCCCTGTGACCCTGTAAATATAACCTTCGCAAGGTTACTAAGTGCCCATTGTTGACCCTGATGTCTTTGTAGATGACTGTATGTCTTGTATTGTAAAAAGTAGAGAAAAGGGAGGGAATCAACAACAGCATAGTCCATCCATTGCGTTTCTTCTAGACTTCTGTGTGGCGCATCATCTGGTAGAGACCTCATCATTTCATACCGTAATTCTCGAGGCACACAATTCACTTCTGTCTTCATGAATATTAAACAACATGATCTGATACTATTGATGTAATTTTCACTTAATTCACTGCATTTACTTTTAAATTCAGCAGACTGACATGTCCGTTGAGGCCAGCAGGCACATACAGGTTCAACAACAGTAGAGTTATATCGACTTTCAATTTGTCCCAGAATGAACTCCACATTATTCATATCACCTACACAGTAGAGCATGGAAGCTAGCTTTAGCCTACCATATGTGACATCTGAGTTCAATCCTAATGAGAGCCACTTTAATGCTTCATATTGAACTGGATTATTCTGTCCAATACTTGATGACGCCATTATAAGACCTAGTGTGGAATAAAAGAATGGTGCCAGACAACCACTTACAAGCCGTTCCAGTCTATTTCCATATTCTCTGCAGTATGTTAGCTTTGAGATAATTTGTTTAAGATAAAATATGTGGTCATTTGACAAATTGTTGAAAACAAACAATAGGCTTGCGATTATCCCAATTTTGAAGCTGATGAAAAGTTGAGACGAACATTCTCCATGTATTTCAAGTGAGGTTTGAAAACTATATGCAATATGAACAATTGAACACAGTTTGACTTGTAGTCTCTGGCCAATATTATCCATGCTTATTCGTAGTAAACATCTCCCATCGCTCTGTATTGTGTCACATAATTTCTGTAAAACGTCTCGCTTCTCTTCAGCAGTAAATTGTCCGGCTATTAAGTTGTTTTAAGAAATAATGAAATGCGGGCAATTTTCATTTTGAACATGGCTGTGGAGTTCAAGCAAGCAATATGTTAAACATGTTAAAAGATTGTCTCTTTTCCATATGTTATGTTCTGTATTTTCTATACAATGGAGCAAAACACTTTTACACATAAAACTTGACAGAGCATTATTTTGTCCGTAGTTACTGAATGATTTCAAAAATATTTTCATTAAAACATAGCATTGTAATTGCGTAATATTTAGATTGAACATCAAACATCTCTCTTGTAGAGAAGTAGATATTCTCCACTCTAATCCTGGATATCTAGCAATCTTGCTACAGGCACCAACAACAAAACAATTACAGTTAGCTGCATATCTGATACTTTCAGGTGATAACCACCTCATAACATCAGGTCTTTCTAGGAATTGTGATACCGATTGGAGCTTTGAATTACAAGGGAAAGCAAATACAATGTCTTTGTCGCAGTATCCATTTTTCCCGGAGACAGCATTTGATGGCCCGTGTCGCTCAGTATTTCCTCGGTTAATGCTTGTTTGGGATGTATTTCTTAATAATATTCTCCCATTACTATCTCTTATGTAATGTCCATTAGGAATGTTTGTCTCAAAAAGTGGTTCATCAGATCGAAGTAATTGTAGAAAACAATATCCTGGTGTTACATTTTCATCCTGTATCATAAGAAAATTGAACTTATTTTGTTTCCACTCTGCCCAGTCTTGTATCACATTATAATTAAAGTCTACAATTACTAAGTCAGCATCTGAATCAAGTCCTATAGTTGTGGTGCCTTCTGTCCGACTCCAAAGATGATATACAGTTCTCTTATAACCAATTGATCTGGATGTAATCGTTAGTAAACCTTCCGTCAGCATGGACATTCTTCTTCTTTTCATCACCATTTTCTCATTAACACCAACATCCTCTAATACCTCTGATAATTTCAGTGACAAAGCTTTACAATATTCAGGTGACTGAAACATTCTGTAATGATATAAATATAATGTATTCTTTTTATGTTAGAATATTAGAGTTTTTATGTTAATAAACATGTTGTATACTTGTTTAAATTATCTTTGATATAACAGATCTGATTTTAAGAATTACAAAATGAAGAGTAAAAGATTGCATTGATGATGTGAGTATTTTCTTAAGATATATGCCAAAACTAACCCATTAAAGACTGATAATATAAAAATACCAAAAAGTAAATAGTTTTACTTCCTCTTACGGTTTTGAAAAAAAAAAACGAAGCAAAAATATTTGCTACTTTTGAAACCTCCTCATTAATGTTACACAAAGTACATGCCATTTATGACAATGCGGTATAGGAAATATTACATAGATACAATAATAGCATTATGTATTAAAAAAAATTCTTGTACAGTAAACAAGTACCATTTAGAATATTTCTGAAAATTGATATTCAAAAATTAAAACTGAGCTAGGAGAAATAATTGCTTAACTTGCTTCATAGATTAATTTCCTATTTGTACCACTTGTAGTGTTTCAACATGAAACGATTTCTACCGTTTCAATTCTTATGTTAATATCGATCATAATCCAATTTAAGTTTTCAAAACTTCAGGTACAATTTTATGGAAAATGTTCATAAATTGTAGTCTTTATGAATACATGATAATTCAATATAAATTATTAAATATTTATTAAACTTACTTTAATTGTATCAATTTGTTCTGATATGTTTATTACTGTAAACCAACACTTCCAAGGGTGATTCGTAAAATTTCCAAATTGTACTTCCTCTTTTCGATTGTCAATTGTCTGAAAGAATACTCTTGTAGTATGAGTAGCTACATGGTTTCAGCCTTCTCTTGGATATTAATGCTTTATAAATAATTGCAGACCTCTTTTAGTTTGAGAAAAATAATAATAAAACTTGTTAAAAATAGCTGAAGAAAGTGGCGAAAAGTTATGATTGTCTCCGAGCATAATTTCACCGACCGTCCTTAAATTAGCGCGATATATTTTAATAACGCTTATGATAAAGTTGTAAATATTCTTAAAGAACAACAACAGCAAATATGTGTTCATCAGATGAAGAATTATATTTGTTTCATTATAACCTATATTACAAGTTGTTAAAAAGAATTTCGATATATTTTACTATAAGACGGTTGGACGAGAAAATAAAAACCTTTATCGTTGAGACATCGTCAAATCTTCAAAAATAATTACCGAGATATAATTCATTATGTGTATGTGTCCAAAATTAATGCGACTTATTATACTTATTTTGTAATAAAACCGTTTAAGTACCCTTATTTCACAACATGTGTATATATAAAACATGTATATATATATAACATATATACATTATGTTTGGACCAATGAGATTGCAGCTATTATTAGATCACATAATAAATTAAATGATATCATATCTTATCATATCATATATCATATAAAATAATATTACACATGTATTTTTTATATTATATCATATCGTGTAATATTGTAAACGACCATAATTATGGCATCTTTGCAGTCTTATTTTGTCCGTGAATATTAATTGAATTCATCAGACTGACGAGGCGGGAAAGTCACAAATTGACAGACAGCCCATTTGTACTTTATTGCGTTGCTTATTAACTGTTATTAGTTTCACCTAAAATAATGTGGAGGGATTTAAAATAATACTCTTAGCTTCACTAACTCATAACGGCGATAAGTCTCTCTGTCGAGCGACTGATAATTAGGATGAATACATACTGAGAGATATACTTGAAACAAAAAGATTAAATCGATTAGCAATGCTAAGTTTGGGGATAAGTTTTAATCTTTAGCAGTACTAAGTTAGCGATTTCTCTTTAACTATATACAGTGTATTCCATATAAAATAAATGAAAATAATGATTCTACTAGAGTTTTTCTTTTAAAACTTTTACCCATGTGTCTGGCTGTATTTATCATAAACTTAACACTGACAGTGAATTACCAGTTTCAATAATTTTATCAGATTTCTTTCCCTTTAATAGATATATATCAGCAATCACGTCAAGTTTGGAGAGAAGCCCTCAAAATAATGGCAGTACCAATCGGAACAACTCGGCCATTATTTATAATAAGTATATGAATAATGTTTACTTTTATATCTATAACATTACCTAAATAGGTGGACTTTAACAGTAAACTGAAGTTAATGACGCCCAGCATTAAAATAACTATTTGTTTTCACATGTTTAGTTTCGTAGTGTTGGTTAGGTCAAAACACTGTATTGACTCTGTGTGTTTGAGGTCCTTTTAGACGTTTAACTTAAAGGTACAGATATTAACCCTCTAAAGAAATTAAAATTCAGCAAAAAACATAAGATTCAAATATCTCTAAGCCAAATTAGACTAGCAATTAGACTTGTTATAGAATGTACAAAAAAACCCTTTTCTGTGTTTTACAGATTCATGCTAGCGCTTGGCCTTTCCTGAAACCAGTAGAGAAAGCTGAAGCCCCTGATTATTATGATGACAACAAGTTTCCTTTGGTTAAGCGATATATTTATTTTCTTATCTTTTTCGATGCTCTTTGCCTTGCTACATTTATTCAGTTAACTTTTTATGCTTTAAATTCAAAATATTTTAATATTTTGTAAGCTTTAATGTTATTGAATATAAATCACACATAGGTTAGTGGGTAACAGTAAAAATATCATCCCGAGGAAAATACTGTTACCCGAGGCGTTAGCCAGATTGTATACTCTTACACTGTAACAGTACAATTTTTTTAATCAAATTGTACACTTGCATAAACAGTATAAATGACTCCCAGTGGCCTATGTTTAACTGATAGCTCAATAGCTTAACATCTTTTGTTTTGTATATATTTTTATTGAAATCAAGGGATATATATTGATTGACGGTTTTAAATACAAAGCAAGATAAGTAAAATATACAAATTCAGCATGTAATGTGTTAAAGATAAAAAGGAATCATTTTTAAGATGACTGAATTTAAGATGATATAAGATTTACACAGCATTAATAGTTTCTAAACCAATAGTCATTTTTTATCAGTGAATGATGAAGATTTATTTAAAGAAATGAACATACAAACATGAATTAGAATTGTTTAAAAACAAAAAGTATGTATGAAACTATTACTAAGGAAATACATAGGTACAAGACAATATCAATAATTTCAGTCATGCAAATTCATGAAGAAACATTTAAAGATACATGTTTTTTACATTTTTACTGGTAAAAAACCATATCACAGTTTTTTTTATTATGTTTAAATACATTTTACCCTTTTTATTGTATGTACTTCTTATATGATTTCGAAAAAAATAGAAAACAAACTTCTTACTTGTGTTATGCTACTGAAATTAAAGATTTATGTTATGACTAGATTAGACCACTTAAAACTTTACAGAGTCTACAGTGATACAGTTGAAGGTCACTGACCAGATCAATGACTTAAGTGCGATTTTTACTGATTATTATCCTGTCTGAAATAAGACTTTTGCAACCGGCTCAAATCCCCCCCCATTGTTTTACCTCAACTATTCGTAGAAAAATAGGGCCATCCTACTTACTCAAGCCTCATGTATACATGTAGTGAGAGCATAATAGGTATACATAACTTTGACAGAATTATGGTCATTTTTTTAACTTGAAAAATTCAGGGTTAATGTTTTGCAGGAAGACCTCTGATGATACTCATTTGAAACTTTCCAAGACCCATAATTCTGACAAGGATTTTGAGTGAAATGGTGAAGTCAAAATAAATACATTTTGCAATACTTTCTTTCAACTTTATGTTTTACTTTGCATGAACAATAAATAATGTGGCCTTAGGAAATTTCTGTAAAATTTTAAGGGATTATTATTATTATTATTATACTTTTGGCAGATTTATATTTTATCTTAAATAAGTCAAATCAACTGTTGGTCATCACCAGTATCACAGTCAATCTTAAAAATATATAGTCTATTCAGCTCAATTTAATAATGACAAAAATGAATATAGTTTCACTTTAAGAGTGTTTAATATTTAAAAATGCCCAGGGGTAGAATACAAATATCGATACTTTTAGAACTTGCGATTCATGATTTGTCGGACAAGTTTTAAATTTCAGGACACCTAAATATGTCTACATACGAGTATTGAAAGAATTTTATACTTAACAGAGTTCAGATTTTATTGCCTATTTCGCGTTTCTAAATTTTCAACTTTTCATTAAAATTAATAAAAAATTTATTCCACGAACCACATGTATTGTGTTTATTATTATTTCCATTGACCCTGTCATGGCAACATCAAGTCATGCCAGTCTTAGTGCTGGTGTTTTACGTGCATTATTTCTGGCACTAGCGGGCTCCATCACTTGAATCACCTTCACTCTGTTAGCTAGATGGCTCATAGCTTCCTCACATCAATATCTCTGGCAGGATTGAAACATAGCGATGAGGGGCAAGTAACTTTAATTATTAAGCCACGCCCAACAATGTTAATAATAATATTAATCATTACATTTGTATCAGAACGCTTAAGCAATGCGGACACGAATACATATAATATGTAACATTCGACTAAATGTTTTCTGCAAAGGACTAGACTTATTGTCCGCAGTTGATTATTCCCGAGGTTAACTTGTTGTCTGAGGTTAACTAGAAAAACTATCAGATTACAGACGTTGTCCGATTTAATAGATGTCCTTGGTCGATTGTTCGGAGCTAGCTGTCGATTTGATTTTCGCTGAACTTTTTGTATATAGTTCTATTTTTATAATTTCAAGGGCCGAATGGCTAAGCTATTTGACATTAGCTATAGGCTTTCAACGTTGTTGGTTCAAATTCTGCCAGGGACGTCCAATTGTTCATGTAAGAAAGCTATACAGATAATTCTAACACTTTCGGATTTTTTTCTTTATAAACAAAGAAGGCCCGAAGCGTGCATTATTCTACAACAATGCACTTGCCGTTCTTACTATCTCCCTGTGTATTTTCACATTTAGGGCGCCATTTTGTTTGAAAATTCTGATAAATAAAAACATATTTTGTCGAATTTTGTTGTAAAAACTATCTAGAATGAAAGAAAATGGTCTAACTAAGAAAATGAATCCGAACACCAATATCTTTAATTCAGTAGTTAACGCTGTACAGACATTTAAAGTGTTGTTAATGTGACGTCACAATGTAGCGCCAAACAGCACGTGCAAAACAATCAAATCAAGTACGCTATTTTAATGTCGCAAACGAGTTTTTTTTTATTTGTGTTGTCGCAGTTGAAGGGCTCATTCACAAAATACTGACAAAAGGTAAATAAGTGTTACAAAATAAAAGATAAATGTTTTTCATTCTGACACTTTTTTCATGTTTTTGCTACTTGTAACAACCACATGTCACGGTTCAGAACTGTTTACTTTTTAGGGGGATATAGTGTAAGCGGCCAGATAGCTCAATTGGTAAAGCTGCAGTACGGTAACCGTATTCTGAGGGTTGAGCGTTCGTGTCCCAGTCAGGCTGCACATTTTTTATCACCCTGTGACATTTGGTGCCCAACGGGGATTGTGACTGGATAAAATTCAGAGTTTGAATTACATTGCTCTGTAACTCTGTGGAATTCAAGGATGAATTTCAATACAGCAGGGGAGTGTCACGGTTCAGAAGTGTTCACTTATTAGGGGAGAAGGTGTGAGAGCGGCCGGATAGCTGTCGGTCGAGCCGCAATACAGTAGTCCGAAGGTTCGAGTCCGAGTCAGGCTGCACATGTTTCTCACCCTGTCACACACAACCAAACAAAATAACGAAAAAGCAGTAACCGGACACCATAGTTTTGTGATCATCAATTGGCAAAATGGCAGCACTTAAATGCAAAAATGAAGTTCTATTGTTAATTTGAATTGTCATTTTTGACTAAATAATTTGTTGAGTTGCGAAAACGTTTTGTAACATTTAATATCAAAGTTAATGTAATCTTATGACGCATTCGTACTTAATTAGTAAAAAGAAATTACATAGATCATTTTTCAACAGGATTTGTTCGCCATTTTGAAAAACGGCCGAAGGATACATGCCGCTTTAAATCTGTTTTTTATATTTATGGCAAATTTTGATTACAACCAATCATTGAATTGTGAATATTAGAATATGGGACAAGTTATTAGACCTTTATTCTTTAGAATAAATGTGTATGGTAAAGAATGACAAGTTTTACATTTGTAGTACCCTTTCGGGCAAAATGTTCGGGTTATTTGACATAGTTTCAATGAAATTGGCCATTTTCAACTACAGCGTAAGATTAGTTCAAGCCCATTTAAAAAATAAACAGTGGACAAGAAACAAACTTTAACATCCCTGACAAGTTTTAAAAGCATTTATTTTCATGAATTTAATACTTTTAGAACCTTGCAGGTTTTTTCAATATGCCCTATGAGAGATGCAAAGTTTGGCGATTTAGCTCAATTTCACGAATATATTCTAAAGAAGATAAATACTGTCAGAATATTCAAATACATGCACCGAAATAATAGTTTATGCTGAAGATTTATACCAATTTTCAAAGCACATTGTTATTAAACAAAAACTCGCAGGAAAGTTTAAAAAAAACATGTACAAACCGTTGTGTGATTATTACGCGACACCGGCACATTGAAACATGCTGTTTATGATTCATCAGACAAATTTTAATGTTTCCCCGCGTACAAATATGTCTACATGTTGAAACAAATTTATGCTTTAGGTGGGTAGAGTAAAGAATAAATAGCCTTTTTAGCGTTTTTAAATTTTCTACTATCCAAAAAGAAAAAAAGAAGACCACATGATCGTGCATGCACGTAATATTGTAGCACTGGCAATAACTGATATTGAAAAGATAACATCATTGTTTATATTGATTATTAAGAATGTTTTTGTGAGTCGTGCAGCATGTAATTTTCAAAAGAAAGGCTATACTTCTTAATAACTAATTATACAATGTATTGCTTTTATAAGTTTTTTTTTCTTATTTCCATTGACCCTGACATGGTGACAACATGTCATTTCAGTCTCATTGATAGTGTTTTTAACGTGCATTATTCCGGCACGAGCGGGCTTTAGAGTACAACTGTCATCTCTCTGTTAGCTAGATGGCCCATAGTTCCCTCACATCAATGTCTCTGGCAGGATAGAAACATAGCTATAAGGGGCACGCAATTTAACCTACAAGCCCATCAAAAGAACATTAATACTAATAAATGTTATATATATACGAAAGTACTAAAGTTTATTAGGCCACGCACAAAAAAGAATGTCAATATCAATAATCATTATATTTATATCAGAATGCCTAAGCAACGCGGACACGAACACATATAATATCTTACATTCAACTTAAGGTTGTCCGCAAAGGACAGTTGACTTTATTCCCGAGGTTAACTTGTTGTCCGATGTTAACTAAAAAACTATCAGATGACAGAATTTTACTGATTGAATAGATGTCCTGGGTCGATTGTTCGGATCTAGCTGTCCATTTGATTTTCGCTGAACTATATAGTGCTTTTTTTATAATTTCTGGTGCCGAGTGGCTACATTATTTGACATGAGCTACTGGCTCTAAACAATGGTTCGAATCCTGCCAGGGACGTCAATTTTATTCACGTAAGAAAGCTCTTCAGATAACTCACGTAAGATATGTGGCTCCACCTTGGTTCCCAATTGTACCGGAAATAATGCAAGGACGAGCATTAGATGGCTTTCTTCCACCATAAAAAAACTGGAAAGCCTCTATTTAGTTTTTACAGCGTTAAAAGCCAACAATAAACTTGAAACAACCAACAATTAAAAAATAGTATTATCATCAATGATTTAATCTTTGGATAAATTATATCATATTTACATGTGCTTAACAAATATTATGATTAATGTGATGGTATGACGACAGTTCAACTTTGGTTTGTTTGTTAAAATGGCATTCTAGAATACTGAGATATAACTGCAAACTTACAGAAAGTATGTGGCAACCTTACAAAACACTTCATTTTGGTTGAATGCACAATTCAACATACTTTCTTACTTGTCATTTTACCTGTAAAGGGAACTTTGAAATTCTACATGTTTGCAACATACTTTCTTACTAAATTACAAATATGAAACTTTGCCGTATTATTTCTTTCTCTTTGTTGAAGCGACAACATATAACACTGTAATGTTTCCCTTGGTTTGTTCTCTTGTTCCATACATTGACCGAGAAGATTGAGAGCTGTCTCCCTGTGACCAAAATTCCTTCCTGTAAAGGTAACCTTCGCAAGGTTACTTAGTGCCAGTTGCTGATCCTGATGTCTTTGTAGATGACCGTATGTCTTGTATTGTAAAAAGTAGAGATAAGGGAGGGAATCAACAACAGCATAGTCCATCCAAAGTGTTTCATGCATACTTCTATATGGCATATCATCTTGAGTAGATCTCATCATTTCATACCGTAATTCTCGAGGCACACAATTTACTTCTGACTGCAAGAATTTGACACAACATGATGTGATACTATTGAGGCAATTTTCATTTAGTTCACAGCATTTCCTTTTAAATTCAGCAGACCGACTTGTCTGTGGATTACGCCAGCAGCCACATACAATTTCAACAACAGTAGAGTTATATCGACTTTCAGTTTGTCTCAGAATGAACTCTGCTCTATCCATATCACCTACACAGTAGAACATTGAAGCTAGTTTTAATCTGCCAGATGTAACATCTGAGTTCAAACCCAATGTAAGCCACTTCAATGCTTCATATGGAACTGGATAATTCTCTCCGATCCTTGTTGACGCCATTGTAAGACCTAGTGTGGAACTAAGAAATGGTAACAGATAACGAATTGCAAGCTGTTCCAGTTTATTTCCACGTATACTATAGTATGTCAGCCTTAAGATAATTTGTTTGTGATTGCATATGAAGTAATTTGACAAGTTATCAGTTTTTACTAGTATAATTACCATTCTGTTTACTTGTTTCATCAAATTGATGAAAAGATTGCATGACCATTCTTCATGTATCTCAAGTGCGGTTGGAATATTGCAAGCAATTTGAAAAATTGTACTCAGTTTGCCCTGTAGTCTCTCGCTAATATCATCAATGTTTATTCGTAGTAAACACCTACCATCGCTCTGTATTATGTCACATAATTTCTGTAAAACGTTTCGCTTCTCTTCAGCTGTAAATTGTCCGGCCATTAAGTTGTTTTCAGAAATAATGAAATGCGGGCAATTTTCATTTTGAACATAGCTACGAAGTTCAATCAAGCAGTATGATAAACATGTAAAAAGATTATCCCTTTTCCATATTTTTTGTTCTGTATTTTCTATGCAATGTAATAAAACGGTTTTACACATAAAACTTGACAAATTACTCGGATTTTGGGGATTCAGAAAAGTTTTCAAAATTATTTTCATTAAAACATAGCATTGTAATTGCGTAATATTTAGATGAAACATCAAACATCTCTCTGCTAGAGAAGTAGATATTCTCCACTCTAATGCTGGATAAGCAGCAATTTTGCTACTAGCACCAACAACAAAACAATCACAGCTAGCAGCATATCTGACACTTTCAGATGATAACCACCTCATAACACCTGGTCTTTCTAGGAATTGTGATACTGATTGTGGCCATGAATTACATGGGAAAGCAAAAACAATGTCATTGTCACAGTATCCATCATCTCCGGAGACAGCATTTGATGGCCCGTGTCGCTCAGTATTTTCTCGGTTAATGCTTGTTTGGAATGTATTTCTTAATAATATTCTCCCTATGCTATCTCTTATGCAATGTTCATTAGGAATGTTTGTCTCAAAAAGAGGTTCATCAGATCGAAGAAGTTGTAGAAAACAATATCCAGGTGTAACATTCTCATCCTGTATCATAAGTAGGTTTGTCTTATTATGTTTCCACTCCCGCCAGTTTTGTATCACATTATAATCATAATCTACAATTACCCTGTCAACATCTGACCTAAGTCCTATAGTAGTGGTACCTTCAGACTGACTCCCCAGAATATATATAGTTCTGTTTTCACCAGTTAATCTGAATGTAATCGTAATTAAACTCTCCTTCAGCATAGATATTCTTCTTCTTTTCATCACCATTTCCTCATTAACACCAACATCCTCTAATACCTCAGATAATTTCAGTGACAAAGTTTTACAATATTCAGGTGACTGAAACATTCTGTAATGATATTAAATATATATCCTTGTCAAAACATAAGGAATGAGGTTATGATAATATAGAATAACTTGTTGTTACTTGAAATTAAACGAGATATAAAGATATTAAAGTTTCCGGTATTTTTCTGTTAAAATTTTTCACTTCTTTCTATTTAAATTATCTTTAATGTAACACGTCTGGTTTTATAGAATACAAGGGAAAGAACAAAAGGTTGCATTAATTCATTGATAAAATGAACTGTATTTTCCTAAGATACATGTCAAAAATACATCATTGAAGAATGATAATACAAAAATACCCATAGTTTTTTTCTTTTTCTTCCTCTTTCGGTTTTGAATAGATAAAAATAAATTCAATTAATGTTACACCATTTCACATCTCATTTCTAACAATCTCATATTGGAATATCAAAAAAATGCAAAAATTGCATTATGTATCAATAACTTTTCTTTGAACAAGGACCAATTAGAATATTTCTGAAAATTGATATTTAAAAACTGTAGAAACTGACCTAGGAGAAATACTTGCTTTACTTGCTTCATAGATTAATTTCCTTATTGTACCAATTTGCATTTTTTCAACGTGAAACGATTTCTATCGTTATCATTAATCTTAATGTAATAGTCATTAATTACGTCACAATTAAAGCTTAAATGAAATTACGACAAAACTTCAGCTACAATTTTATGGAAAATAAACAGAAATTTGTAGTCTACATGTATACATGATTATTAAATATAAATTATCAAATATATATTAAACTTACTTTTAATTGTACGAATTTTTGTAAACAAACAATTCAAAGGGTGATTTGAAAATTTTTCAATTTGTAGTTTCTCTTTCGATTTTCAAGGGTCCGTAAGATAACTCCTGTAGTAGGTTTCAGCTTTAACTCCCTTGAATATTTATGCTTTATCAATATGTGAAAACCTCTTTTATTTTGATAAAAAAAATAAACTTGTGAAAAATAGCTGAAGAAAGTTGTGAAAAGATATGATTGTCTCTGAGCATTTTTTCCACCGACCATCCGTAAATTAAGCGATAGCGCCAATGATGACATTGTAAATATACTTAAAAACAAGAACAGCAAATATATTTCCATCAGTTGAAGAATAATTTTACCTTTTTTATCATTACCTATATTACACACCGTGGGAAAGCAAATTTGGTCACGGGGCCACAAAAGTCAACGTACACGGCCATAAAAGGCCAGTGAGATAAGTTTTTTAGTTATTATTTTTCTATCAAGCCGATTTAAATTATGCAATATAGCCTACCGACAGCGGCATTTCCGATGCTTTTTGGTGTCGTCTAACGTTTTGTGTTTTCTGAGAACATTCAAACAATATTTACAATTTGTCAATGACAACGTACACACTCTTGTATAAAAGTGTTGATAATTACTTTATAAACGATACGCATGTCAGTTCTAAGAAAAATTTCACGTTTTGAAATTTATAAGAGAATATTTTAATGAAAAAAGTACAGGTTTCTTGCTGTCATTTTTTGTATTTATTTAATCTTAATAAATACAGTATTACCTGAGCTGTGCTATTTTGGCCATGTACGTTGACTTTTGTGGTCACGTGTCCAAAGTTGCTTACCCGCGGTGTTACAAGTTCTTAGTAAGAATTTCGAGTTATTTTACTATAGGACGTTTGGACGAGAAGATAAAACTCTTTAACGTTGAGACATCGTCAAATATTCAATAATAAATTTCGAAACATAATTCATTCTGAATATATATGTCCAAAATGAATAATACTTATTTTATTGATTTTGAAATAAAACCATTAAGTACCCTTATCTTACAAAATGTATATATTTAATATATATACATAATGTTTTGACCAATGAGATTGCAGCTTTTTTTAGATCATATAATAAATAAAATGATATCATATTATAACATATCATATCATAATATCATATCAAATCATATTATATCATTTTATATTATATCATATCGTATTATATTGTAAACGACCACAATTATGACATCTTTGCAGTATTAGTTTTTTCGTGAATATTAAATATCGATTTCAACCGACTAATGCTACGGGATAGCCACAAAATGACAGACAGCCCAGTTGTACTTTATTGCGTTACTTATGTTAACAGTGTTCACCTAAAATAATGTGGAAGGGTTGAAAATAACACTCTTAGCTTCACTAACTCATAACAGCGATAAGTCTCTCCGTCGTGCGACATATAACTAGGATGAAGACATACTGAGAGATATACTTGAAATAAAATACAAAGAAATTATTTGATTTGTCAATCTTGTTCAGCAGAATGCTTAGAGGATAAATTTTATTTTATGTCCATGATATTTGCGGCTATTGCAAAGTAATATACTTAAGGACAATGAAAACGCACGCCCGCACTATATGCATTTTATTACATGAAAACAAAACACTAACGACTCAATTAGATATAATATCATTACTTTAATACAAAACACACATTTAACAACTGAAAATAATTAGAAATGTTTGAAATCAAATGTACACCATTAAATCGAAGAACCTAAGGTGAAAATCCCAAAATCACACTTTTTCTTCACAGTAATGCAAACTTAACAAAGGCAAAAACCAAAATGAAAATCCAAAACAAAGTCACTCATTAATGTCTATTCGTAATGTCACCGTCGGGATCTTTGGAAACGACAATGTTCTCCATCAGCGTCTCTTGCAGATGTACATCGTCGCCTCATAGATCTTCAGTGCGGATAGTCACCTGTGGAATCTGACGCCATTCGGTCTGTAGTGTAGTACAAAAACGCTGGTGAAGCCGATAAAATGTAGACCGATGGACATCAAAACGGTTGGCGCTTTGTTTGACTGAATCTGTCCTAAATCTACCAAGCGGTAATGGTTTCTTTGTAGAACCATTGCATACAATTTGCTAGCAAGTCTTCAGTAGTGTTTGAAAAATATCACCTTTTATAGAGAAAAAGTGAGAATATTAAATTTCCATGTGAGCTTTTAAAATTTCTAAAACTGACCATTAGCATAGTTTAATATTCATTTTCATAAAGATTTTAATTGCTCATTTGTGTCTAACATTTCTAGAAAGGTGTGTAAAACAAGTAAATAATTAAAAATAAATAATTTCATTTCAAAAAGTAACCATGAATTGCTTCAATCTGTTTTTCTGTTGTGATCTTATCACAATTAGCCAAAAGTGTTACGTTTGATTTTACGGGTACTGTTTTTATTTTGCCAAGTCAAGTCAAGTCAAATTCCCTTTATTACACACATTTCATGTTAACATGAATAAATGTGGTTAGTAATAAGTACAATGTTAGTAGAGGCTCTTTAAACAAATGTACAATGTATAATTATATAATTTGAGTGGTAAAATAATTCGTAAAAAGAGTATTTATTCATATCATTTGCTGAACTGCAGTACGTTCAATTAACAATGTATCAAAACCACAAATTGTTAAAGTTCTTAGTAAATATGTTACCGCAAAAAACCGTGGAGAGTCACGTAATTTAGACACTCTCTAAGGGTATAATTTCGTTTTATATTACCTTTCTTTTTATTTATCGACAAACGATGAGAATAGTTACAAAAAAGAAAAAGGGAAAAGAAATAATAATATAAACAACTGACAAGTGATGTACAATTATGTACGACATAATATTTTAAACCTTTACAATGACATTTATAGACTCATACTTATAAGCTAAATGAAAAAAGTGTCATACTATTTAGACAAATATTATAACAAACAAACACTTTACTATGGGTAATAAAAGATTAATCTGTGAAATATTCGTGTAATAGTCTTGGAATGTAATGTAAGTAATCACATATGAGGTGAATACTAATTTGATTATCTTAAAATTATTGTTTTAACAAATTTACATAATTTCAAATATTCGCTCTTGTTTCCTGTATTAATTAGTTGTTCTAGTTTGAATGTATTTGCACGTCTGTAATAATAGGGTTTCAAAAATTTCTTTCTTTCATCATTAAGCAAAACACATTCAAATAAGTAATGAAATTCGTCGCCTATTTTATTGTTACAAGAAGTACATGTTCTTTGATTGATTGGTATTCGGGCCCAATTTCCGGTTTCTATTGGTAATCTATGGTTACGTGTATGAAATTTTATCATGTAACGAAGAAAAGGTATAGGGGTTGATAAAGGTATTTTTAGAAATTTAAATTCTTTTTTGAATATTCTGTAGAATGTACTTTTGCTAGAGTTTTGAAATAACGGAATACCAATCATTTAGAAAAATATCTTTTAGTTTCTGTCTAATTGCTAATTTCAATCACTTCTCGTTTCCAAAATTTTGTGTATCCCATATATTACATAAACCGCAATTTATAAAAAATTGTCTTAAGTTTGCAATCCAAGGAAATTTTTTTCTCAAATTATTTTCACTTAAGTTTTTTGAAAGATTGTATGTAATATTGTATAATAGAGACGACAATTTCTTTTGATGATTATTTACATCGTGCTTTTTTAATCTAGCCCAAAACATGATTATTCTTTCGTTTATAATCAATAGATAGCGGCAGGCAGCCTGTTTCTTCCGTACACCATATAATTTGGGGTGGATCTTTTCATATTTAAAATATACTTTAAAAATTTTAATTGGACTCGTTCAATCACTTCTATATTACCATATCCCCATATTTCCGCCCATAAAGAAGAATAGGTTTTATTGTTTTATTAAAAAAGATCTATTTGGATATCAATTGGTAAACTAAGTCGATTTGAGTTTCTTATTAAACTATACATTGCTCTAGTAGCTTGTAATGCTATATGCTTTTTAGTTTTAGTATATGATCCACTTTTACAAAATAAAACTCCTGGGTACTTGTACTCCGTTACTACCTCTAATTTTTCGTTGTTCAAGATAAAATTATAGTTTTGTTGTCGTCCTTTAGAAAATACTACGATTTTAGATTTAGATGTATTTACAGTAAGTTTCCATATTTTACAATAATTTTCATACAAATGTAATGATTTTTGAAAATCTTCAACCGATTCAGATAAAATAACAGTGTCATCAGCGTAAAGTAATATAAATATCTTTAAAAAATCACGAATTTCGTCTGCGTTTTGGTCATTTTGTACCGTGATTCCCATAGTGTCATTACTATTTGCAAAATAATCGCTAAGGTCATTCAAAAACATTGAAAAAAGTAGAGGGGACAAATTCTCTCCTTGACGTACGCCTATGTTACTAGGGAAAAATTTGAAACTTCAAAGTTAACTCTGACACACGATTTAATGTTATCGTACATGTTTTTAATGAGATTTAAACATTTTCCTGTTATATTAAGATTAAAGAGCTTTTGCCAAAGACCATTTCTCCAGACTGTATCAAAGGCTTGTTTGAGATCGATAAAAGCACAGAATAATTTATTTTTACTGTTATTAACGTAATTGTAATACAAAAATTTGGTCTGTGGTTGAAAACCCCTTCCTAAAACCTGCTTGACTATTATTTATTATATTATTTTCATCTGCATAAGTAGTAAGCCTATTATTTATTATACTGGTAAAAAGTTTTCCCAAACAGCTTAGAAGTGTTATAGGTCTATAATTTTCAGGTTTACTAGCATCACCTTTGTTTTTATATATTGGATTTATTATCCCAATAGTCCACATTTCAGGTATAACACCTTTTTCAAATACTAAATTAAAAAGTTTGAAATACGTATCTTTCATTAAACTATATGAGCATTTTATTTGTTCGTTAACTATTTGGTCTAACACACATGCTTTATTATTTTTCAACATTTTTAATGCCTTATCAATCTCTTCATATGTTATAGTACAATTGATAGA